TTTGGAGTGGGTTGAGACTAGGAATTCTTGCACAATCAATAGATCTCATTGTTTCGAGACGAGTTAAGCATTTGAAAACATCGCTGAGTTGAATTTTTCGTGTTCCATCGAGGTCGTCGGTGCATCGTTGGATGACTTTTCTGGGAATACTCCTGAGATTTGTGCGCTTCTTTTCCCAAATAGATCCCTGGAAATTGGATTGTAATTAGATTTTTGGGAAATTGAAATCTGCGGAAAGCTAGTGTAAGTAACGCCGAATAGCCAAAACTATTGCAACGTACTCTAGGATTGTCTTTTTGCCGTTTTTACGCTTAAATCCAAAAATTCAATACGTTTTCCAACAGGACAAGGCATCGTTCCACGACAGTCGTCACATCAAGTTGTTTATGCTCTAAAGGAATCAACAGATTCGAGTGGCCAGCTTGATACCGGACCTCAAGCCGTGCGAAAACTTATGCGGAATCATCGTCCGAGTCATGAACAGCACAACCGACAATATTCTGACGCTTTTGCACTCAGGGCGGCGGCTCAGTTTGTATGGAACAACCTCGACGCGTCTACTCTTCTGCTCTTCGCTTCTATTCTCTGGTCGCAAGTATGAAACCGAGTTGAGTCTCTGTGAATGTATAACCGACAAGTACCAAAAATCGAACTAGTAAGGCAAATTATGGATCAATACCTTTTTTTGAGGCTTTCTGTCTAAATCTGAGATCTCTTTTTGAAGTTTTAATATTATATTCGTTTTCTTGGAATCGATGATTTTAGGGGGTGTCACATAGTTTTGTCCCGCACTGTATACGTGAAATTTTTCTTTGCATTATTCTTTCCATTTGCTTATTGCTTTGCAGGCAAATGGCTAAATTTCAAGGTCTTTTACCTGCTGACACTTCCGTGGGATCTTCCAATAAACGAAAGTTTTATGTTTAGCGAACAATAGTTGAACTGAATTTTTCAAGCTAAAGGTTTCTGGACGAGTGGTAGCTCATTTAATTTTGCTGGCTTTCATTACATTAAAAAGGTTAAATTATGTAAAAGAGACAGAGTAACGAATTTTTATTATTTTGTTGAATCAGTTGCCGTTATTACTTTCCTCGAGACGACTCTTTTGCACATGAAACGAGCTACGAGCTAAAAAAAGCGAGATCTAAATTCACAAAGCTCAACCCCATAATGTGACGCGATCGTTGACCGAAACCTCCTCCTTCTAAAGTGAATTTTGTTGCAAATTTTATCTAGTTTCTAAAAATCATAATGGTTTTTCTGAATTTTTTAAGCCTGGAAAGTTATGAACTCAAAACTCCAAAAAGCCTGTTTTTTTTATGCAAACTGGGGATTTCCGATCTCGAAAACGGTAAGACATATTAACAAACGGTTTAAATTTTGGAATTCAACATAACTAAGTTATTATAAATACATATACAGACTGTTCGTGAACTTTAGTTTTTGTGTCGTATTTGAAAGTTGGTTCAAACTTTTGCCCACCTGGAAAAGCAGTCATAGAGAAAAACAACACAAACAAAATTTAAATGTTTACTTTCATAAAAACAGTTATGCTATATAAAAACTAGAGTGAAAATGCTATTTACCACAAGTTTTCTAGAGAAAAAATGGCGCTATTGATGTTGTTGCGATGCCGTTAGCAAAGGAGAATGGGTGAGGCCAAACTTTTGACCACTACTGTATGTATGTTCTACACAAAAAAAGACACCGACATTGCAGCTTTCAATTTTTATTTCCAAATTTTAGTCGATAGACAATTTTGTTTTTATAAGCCTGAATATTGATGCAAACGATTTTCAGTTAGTTTGCGAAAATCTTTTGAAAAAAATTTGAGAAAAATGAAGCTTTTTATTAGCACCTGGGGTATTTGGCTTGTTGATAAGGGAAGGCAAGAGAAAAAAGATGAAGAAAGAGCTTTTTTCAATAGATAAAGCGGCAAAGAAGACCAGAATTTTGACTTACTCGATGACGAAAATCTTTTTAAAAGAATTTGAGAAAAATAAAGCTCTTTATGAGCACCTGGGGTATTGGCTTGCTGATAAGGGAAGGCAAGAGAAAAAAGATGAAGAAAGAGCTTTTTTTGAATAGATAAAGTGGCAAAGAAGACGAAAATTTTGACTTATTTACTGACGCGTTTGGTTACATTTTCCACCGTTTTGTACTCGGATTTGCAGCATTCTTTTCTAGAGAATGGGAGGAAAGCGACTGAAAGGCGTTACCGTTGAACCGAATCACCGCAACCCTTCTTCTCGTGCGTCTTGGGGTGATCGATGCTCTAAGGAAACACTGCTGGATGGAAGTCGCCCAGGTAGCTACAGTCATGTGCAAAAGTCTTTTTTCATTCAATTTTCTATTCGTAATTCTAAGACACGTGATTGATCCGAAACCATCCCAGTAAATGTGCTTTTCCTCCATTTGAGAGAGTCACAACGCGGGCCATCCAACGTTTGCTTTTGTATACTAGCGAATTATCTTGCTTTTGTGTACTGGCGAAAGAAACCATCCTGGATTCATCGAAGCAGTCGCAAATGGAAGTAGGCATCTGTATATCAATATACTGGCGGGAATTCATTGTTTAAAAAATTAAAAAGTTTCATCAACTTTTTTTTGATAAAGTCCATGGCTATTTGAAGTTATTAATAGTTTTAGGTACATAAATATATGTACAATTTATTTACACGAACGTTATCGCTCAACAACACTTATTCATCGAGAAAAAAATATAATTGTCAAAACATCCCTGAAAATCGTGATGCAAAAGCCTTCACACATTTGCAGAAATTTTATTATTTTCGTTCGCTTCATATTTACTGGTACTATTTTATTTTTTTAGATGCCAGGAGCGTACTTGTCAACTCCGGATAAAGAAAGGATTGTGGAGGCAAGGATGGAAGGAATGCCACGACAAGGCGTTGCTTGCCTCTTAGAATGTACGCCCAGAACAGTTTCTCTTGTTATGGCAAAAATGATGCGTCTGGAAATGTAGACAGATGTAGGAAAAAGGGACGGCCGAGGATTACAACAAAGAATGAAGACCAATTCCTTAGGGGAGCTTTCAGGAAGGATCCGAATTTGGCGTTGAACGATGGAGCCATTCTTTTCAAGCAAACTTCAAACAAGAATATTTCCCGCTGGACCTTGCATCAACGCTTGCTTCAAGCAGCATTGTATGCTAGAAGACCTGCTTTCAAGCCATGATGACAGTCAAACACAGGAGACAACGCCTTCAATTGGCTCGAACCTATGCAAATTAGATAATCGATGATTGAGCCCGAGTGATTTTTGTTGATGATACAAAAGTTGATATTTTTTACTGCAAATCGAAATCATCTGATCCGACATCCAATTGGAAACTCAGGTACTTGCAACCTACGGTGAAAACAGGCGGTGGTTCAATTATGCGTTTCGGTAACGATAATTTTCTTTTTATGCAGCCCATCGTGATTTCTTTCGTGCGATGTGTAAAAGTTCAACGGGTTCGCTTGTCCGCGTAAAGTGAACAATGGATTCCCGTCAATATATTGAAATATTGGACAGATGTCTACTTCCATTTGCGACTGCTTCCATGAATCCAGGATGGTTTCTTTATCAAGATAATTCGCTAGTATACAAAAGCAAACGTTGGATGGCCCGCGTTGTGACTCTCTCAAATGGATGAAAAGTACATTTACTAGGATGGTTTCGGATCATTCACGTGACTTTGATCAAATCTCCACCGTTCTCACCACCATTCTCACCGGATTTAAATGTTATCGAGAATTTACGGAGCCTATTTGAAATCGAAATTGCGAGGAAAACTATTCAATTCTAAAGTCGAGCTATGGTTTTACATCAGAAAAATTTGGAGCAAGATTGGACCTGGAATTCTTGATGAATTAATTGCATCGATGCCTACTCGTATTAGAGAAGTACTTTTGGCAAAAGAAGGAGAGACTAAGTATTGATTAAAGCTTAATTTCGTTTTGTGTGAAAAGACTTTTGCACCACGAATTTCAGGGGTGTTTTGACAATTATATATTTTTTTCGATGAATAAGTGTTGCATAGCGATAACGTTTGTATAAATGAATTGTACATATATTTATGTAACTAAAACTATTAATAGTTTAAAGATAGCCATGAACTTTATCAAAGAAAATTGATGAAACTTTTTAGAAAATTGCATCTGAAAAGACTTTTGCACATGAGGTAAATTCTGAATTGCAAAATTTTGTTTTGCTTTTTAATTCTCACGAAATATCTGAATCTTTCGACTCATGCATTTGTTTCGCAAAGAAATTGCAGCCACGAATCAATGCATTGGCAAAATGTTTTCTTTTTAAAAAATAGACTCGAGAAATAACCTAATGTCCAATCGTCATGTTGGGGTAATTGCCATTATTCTGGTGGAAAAGTGCGAGCAAAAGAGGATGCAGAATAGAATTGCTTATCGATATTATCGATACAAACGGCATGCTCATATTTGACCGTTTAGATCTCAGTTTCTAGCTATCAATCTGGAAATTATTTCATTGGAAAGCTAAGAATGTGAGCTTTTGATTGCTATCTAACACACAGCAAATTCTGATAGGTGAGTGCCTTACACAGGTTAACAATACTTATCAATACTCAAATATCGATAAGGATTAATCAATAATCGATACTTTCGATATCGATAAGTATCATAAGGTTGATGAGGTGCTTACTCATTAAAAGTCGCTATGTACAAAATAGCAATCAAAAGCTGACATTCTTAGCCTTCCAATGAAACAATTTCCAGATTGATAGCTGTTCTAGAAACTGTCAAACATGAGCATGCCGTTTGTATCGATAATATGGATAAGCAACTCTAGTGCAGAATGAACTTCCCCTTGGGGAAAAAAATGCTCCCTATCGATAAGGTAAACAGGAAAAAAGTTACATAAAGGAAAACGATCTCTAACTATTTCATGGTTGGTTTGTATTTATATTCATCTAAGATCTACCGTAACGCTTTGGCTATTTTGCAGAAATGTGTTATTCGATGCCTGACGTTATTGTTAAAGGTTCCTCGACCCCTCTTCTTCCGCTTCCCGATCGAAATCAGTCATCATTAAGTGCAGGTAACTTATGGGATAAATCTAGGGAACTACGTCAAAGCTTGGCCTTTGAACTGTTTTTCTTAAAGGTGATCCAGCTACCCCATTGTCTAATGAAGAGGAGCCGCCAGAAGCCCAAATGGAAGAGAACGACGACCAGGTGAGATCAACCAACAAAGTAATCAGTGCAAAATTCTTCAGCTATCGCCTCTTCACAAAGTCATCCAAAACTATGATTCCGGGGACACTGTCACTGACAAAACTATCAATCAAATGATGGAAATCTTTCAGGATAAAGACGAAGAGCAAACGTGGGAGCTGAACTTTTGAGTCCAAAGTACTGAGCCCGTTGCAAATGTCTAAGTTATAGAAAGGCAATCGCGAATGCAAAAACGAAGAAAAGAAGGACACCGCTTCATTTTGCAGCCTCACTTCAATCAACAAACGGTAACAAAGATCTAAAGTGTTTAATGGCATTGTTATTTCAGATGACATGACTCCAAGAGAAATCGTCAGAATGCTGATAGAGAAGAAGGGGTTTCATTTCAGCTTAAAGATGTCTTTTCAACAAAAAAAGCTTTAGTGAAACAGATGCGGTCGACGATTCTGGCATGACCCCTTTGCATTGTGCGGCTTACTGGAATAATTTGGGCGCGGCTAAGGCTCTGATTGAACACTTTTTAACGCAAGGAGATATATACGCGACAAAAATCTTTCAAGTTAAGAAAATGATATCAAATAGTTGTAAATTCTGTTCAGAAATTGGATCTTAAGAATAGAACGCCCTTTGTGGTGGCTTGTGCGCAGAAGTCAAAAAAAGTTGTGGGTTTTTTGAAAAAAATTTTATTGCTTGAGAAAAACATTGAACCATCCGTTTAGTACACGCTTTTTCTAAAACATAAGGAGTTGTTCGCGGCTAGCTTGCAACAGGATCACTACGGCAACACATTTCTACACTATCTTGCCAGATCTGAGCGAAGCATTGTTGCTGATTTCGAAAGTGTCGGTAAGCAAGTTCTTTTTAAACAGCAATGATCACTGCTCTCAGATGAATGGTGGAAAGCAAATGTCCAAAACAACGACGGTGTCACTCCGCTGAAAATTCTCGTCGAGAGGGGATTCTCAGAAATCGTTGAAAAGTATGCTGAAAAGATACAGTCGACTCTCGATAGTAAATCACTTTTGAAAACCCCCGACAAAACGCTTAAGAAAATACAAGGGCAAAAAGCTCGATAGTAAATCACTTAATAGTAAATCACTTTTGGAGAATTTCTCCAATAGTAAACACGTAGCTTGGGGTGCGACCCGCTTTAACCTTATCAACGAGGATGATTCTGCTTAAGAATGGCCGAAAAGCACAAAAGGTTAAAAGGGTTTCCCCAAAAGCGCTTACAACGTAACAAGAACACGTAGTATCCAACATAAGATTAATACTCTTGAGAAGAGTACAGATCTGATTGATACTACGTCGATGGTGACACAAATGTTAGTAAAACCAATCTCTCTACAATGTTAAACCAGTTATCAAAACAGGATTTAAAACCTGAGGGGAGGATAAAGTAAAGTGAATCTATAACGTTACTGTTTATTAGTACAAAACCAGAATGCAACAATACCTATTAAAAAAAGAAACAACAAAGTCCGCCCAGAAAAGAAAGCAAAAGCCACCCGCCGAGCAAAAAAAATAATTTCGGGAAGGGAGAAAAAGACGAAAAATGCGATGCGAATAATTGCAAAATAGGAACGCAAATAGGAAGGAAACGGACGCGACCACGTGTATTTAATGCTTGAACGTAAATCATTGATTTTTAAGCAAAATTTTGCATGTTGCAGCTGCAAAATCTACATTTTATTTACTATCCAAGCAAAATATTCAGCCAAACGATTGAAACCGAAAACGAAAATGAGCATTCAACAGCAAATTCATTCATTCAAATCCATTTCATTACATATTATTAAGAATTTTTGAGTAAGTAAATCTCATAGTAAATCGCTAACTCTTGCCAAAGTTCGCATATTTTACGATAAAAGCTTACAACTGCTTATATGCTTACATTGTTGTTTACAATCAGCTGCTATTCTAATTTTCTAGTCAAGAAAAACAGTTTTGAAAAGTTGAATTCCCGCAAAGCCTAGTGTTTACTAGTGTTTAAGCATTTAAACGTCGTGTTAAAGCCAAAAAATGGTATTTATCAGCTTATTCACAATGTTTTTAAAGTTTTTAGGACTGATTAGTCAAAACTCTCGATAGTAAATCATTTTTGGAGAATCCCTTCATGATTTAATATCGAGCGTCGACTGTAGTTGCCTGCAAAGAAAGTGTTTAGAATGTGCGATGGGCTTTGTCAGAATCGCGAAAAGGTGGATATCACTCCGTCTGCAGATGATTTTACCAAAAAAAAGAAGATTAGAAAGTTTGCAAAACGTCCAATTTATTAGAGGGAATTGTTTAGAGACAATGGACACCTGCTGCACCTTGCTGCCAGTGTCGGAAATCTTCAATCGTTCGTTGCGCTCCGTTATAAGGTAATCCTACGGCGAAAGTCGAATAACTTTTCCAGAATATCTTTTGTTACAATCACTTGTACATATTCTTAAAAGAGGTATTCTGCTACCTCCTTATATATAATATCAAAGAATACATACTTGGGAAGTTTGAAAATATGAAAAATATTCGGACTTATCAGAGACTTTCTTCTAAAAACCATTTCACTTTTATTAGCATTTTCTATTCTTATTCAATCAATTCATTTTTGAATTGTAATTCTTAGGTTCTAAACTATCTACTAATATCAAAGATTCTACTATAAACAAATCTTCGTTTTTTTTTCACACACTTTTCATCTTTCATTATAATATTATGCAACGAAAAGTGAAAAAATCTATGGTGAAATAAAAGGGATTTTCGGTACTTTCCCTAAATATTCCCGAAAATTCGCCGTTGCATCACTCCTTACACATCCGCGCAAAATTTGCATATCCGAAAAATATCGCGATTTACAACACATCCAAGGGAGAATTAAAACCTAAAAAAATTAGCATTAAAAATTTTTAGCACAATTTACAACACAACCGAAGGAGGGTACAACAAAGCAATTTTTGAAAGGGTCCATTCAAATATATCTTCGGTTTGGATTTCGCGGCCAACCTTAAACTCCGCAAGATATGAAGAGAGGTGGTATCGGTCGGTTCCATGATACAATAAAAATCGATGAGATTTTTTTATAGAAAACGCCTCCCGTTCGTAGGGTTTTTTTGTTTTTGATTAGAATAATACATGTACACTTTATTTACAAAAATTAATTTGAGGTTCAGCGTAAAACAAAAAATTAAATGACAAAACTACTAAAAATTATCCTAAAGACTGGTTGCAAAAGTCTTGCAACATTCTACAGAAACATCAAAAATTAATATTCAATCGGTCCACCTTTTGCCAAAATCACTTCATTAAGTCGTTTAGGCATTCAGTCGACTAATTCGTTAAGAATTGCTGGTCGAATTGAGCTCCAAACTTTTCGTATGTAGAACCATAAGTCAACTTTTGTGTGAAAGTCTTTTCCTCGTAACTTTGTCTTCACGGAAGCCCATAAATTCTCAATAAGGATTAAATCAGGCGACATAGGGGGAACATTGACCAAAAAAAACTATTAAGGGCACCATCCAGGGAGATGAGCTTTTCCTCCATTTGAGAGATTCACCGTGCGACCCATCATGAGCTTGCTCTAGTGAACCGGCGAATTGTCCTCGAAACCATCCAGGAGCCATGTGATCCTGAGCAAATGGAAGTAGACATCCTTCTAGTATTTCCATATACCGGCAAGCATTCATGGTTGACTGGACGAGGACGAGCGGACCTGCCAGATTTTTTTGTCATCGCCCCTAGAAAAAGACAAATTACTGCATGTATTAGAAATAAGGCTTACCAAAACACATGATTGATCCTCCGCCAGCTCGCATTGTAGGTCGCACATATTTGAGGAGTCTTTGCTTTCCAATGGGTCGTCTGATCAAGTGGTTTCCTTTTGGAGAAAAGATATCCACTTTTGTTTCATCGACGACAATCGCGTTGGCCCCATCCTGCTTTGTCTAACTTTGGTACGTCCTGGCGAATAAAACCCATTGTTTCCTGTGGCCTGCGGTCATCAAAGGCTTTCGTACAGCCCTCCAGCTATACAGTACTGCTTGAGTCAATCATCGAGAAACGGTCCATCGAGTGATATCCTTGTTTGCAACATCCTTGATCAACCGAGCTCCCTCAGTTGATGTCATGTTCGGATCCTTCTTGGAAGACCTCATGAGTATTCGATCCTCTTTTGCTGTTGTTCTTCTTGGCCGTCCTTTCTGCTCTCTTCGGTGCATAAATCCAGTTGTTTTTGCTTTTGAAACAATGCGAGAAACGGTCGAAGGATCGCATTTGAAGAGATCGGAGACAACAGCTCGAGAAATTCCTTTTTTTTCTTGCTTTCATGATTTTTTTTCTTTTTCGGGAGTCGTCAAGTAGATACCTGGAATCTGAAAAAAAGAAAAATTAGTATAAATCAATAAATTTGAAAACAATAAAAATGAGAAAAGAAAATCTTGCAAGACTTTTGCAACCAGTTTTTAGGATAATTTTTAGTAGTTTTGTCATTTACTTTTTTGTTTTACGCTGAACTTCAAATTAGTTTTTGTAAATAAAGTGTACATGTATTATTCTAATCAAAAACAAAAAACCCCTACGAACGGGAGGCGTTTTCTATTAAAAAATCTCATCGATTTTTTTGAAAAAGTGATGTTGCAAGACTTTTGCTCGGTACTGTACTTCTTATTCCGCCACTTTGCAGATCCCCAGAGTTTCTTAATCATTTATGTGTTGATAGTTAGATTCTCAGGGTTGAGAAAGTTGTAGGAGTGGTTGACGGTCGCATGATAATATTCCGGGGCATAACTTTTATACCCGCGCCAGCAGTCAGTATATACTGCTGGACATAATTTTAAAGGCGGTCGAATTTTTACGTTTTTTTGGAAAATATTGAATATCCAATAAAATTGCCCTTTACACTTCATTACTATCATCATTACTATTCTGGAAGGAAAACAAAATCTACAAAAAGGGCTCGACGAGCAATCATTCGAACGGCCTCAAACTCAACAACAACCTCGTCAAAAATCAAAGCAGATCTGAATCTGGGAGCCTCCTCAAGGACAATTCGAAGAGTTCTATCAAAAAGCAAGTTGATTGCTCACAGGCGCATGCAAAAAGCCCCCTTTACTACGCTGATAAATCAAAAGAGGCGGTTGGACTTCGCAGACAAGAACTGGCGAATTGACTGGAGCTTAGTAAGCCAATTAAATTTGTGCTTTATAATTTTTCATTGCTTTAGATCGTTTGGTCAGATGAAAAGAAATTCAATTGTGATGGGCACCATCCCGGTGGTCGCTACTATTGGCACGACCTACGTAAAGACCAACCGCACTTTTCGCGGAGAAACTTCAAAGAAGGAGGATTGATGTGCTGGGCGGCCTTCTCATCGACCGGACGGATCAAATTGGTTTTTGTGCCAAAGAAAATGAACTCGAGCCAGTATCAGTTTGTGCTTCGACGATCTCTACTTCCCTTCTGGAGCCGCAATCGTCATCGAAATTTGGTGTTTATGCAGGACAATGCCCCAATTCACGCAAATCAAAGCACGACAGCTTGGCTCCAAAGGAAGGGAATCCCACTCTTGGACTGACCAGCCAATTCACCGGATTTGAATCCGCAAGAAAACATCAGGGGCTATATGGTCAGAAAGATTTATGAAGGAAATAAGACTCATGGGAGCGCCAGCCAGCTTAAAAAGGCAATTATTAAAGCCTGGCGGACCGTCGATCAGAATTCTCGTTGATAGCCTTGTGAGAAACATGGACAATGGATTTTTCCAAGTAATTCAGCGTCACGGAGGTCCAATCGATTCTTGATTTGTTAATTTTTATCAGTTATTGCTCATTTTGTTACAATTGTTAACTTTTTTTCAAATGCATTTAAAATTATGACCACTTGCCAGAGGCACTTTTTCAATAAATTTGGTTTTTCTTTAAAGGTTCCAATTATCTTCTGAATTTTTCCAGTTATACCTGCAAAATTATGATAGTAATGATGTTTAAAAGACAATTTTATTGTATATTCTATATTTTCCTAAAAATCGTAAAAATTCGACTGCCTAATGTCCAGCAGTGTAGTTCGTCGTCCCCGGTGCGGTGTGTTTCTTGATTTCCCGCAAAAACGTTTCGGCGGTTCTATCCTTGACTTCAACCAAAAAAAACATGTGCCGGTTTCTCTGCACAGACCTCCAAAAATCCATTGTTGAGGCCATCAGTCCGTAGTTGTTTTTTCCTTTCGAAAACAAGCTATCGTCCACTTCGACAATCCGTCCAACTCCTCCGATTTGCTGGATTAGCTTTGACTGTAGATACTCAACACACATTTGTCTCATGAAGCTATTGAAGTCGGTCGTAGGGTTCTTGTCCATCTCTAGCTCGTCTCCACAAAGACGTCCTAAAAAAGTTCACGTGTCCAAAAATAGAGGAAGCGGATGATTGTCAAGGACGCAAGTCGGCAACCATCGAACCAGGATCCACAACGGAGGCCACTTTCTGATCGACATTCGTCCTTGTCACAACGAAACCGGGCTTTTCCTTCGGATAACTTCATCGCATGGGCACATGGGACGGGTTGTGGCGGGCATGCTTTTGAATTGAAAAAGACAATCGCATTATCTTCGCTGTGTGGAAGGGAGAACATCACAAATAACCACGGAAGTAGATCAGAATAAAATGAATTTTCCCCTCCTTGAAGCATCCTTTAGGTTTCATTCAAATTTTGCCGAGATTCAAAGGGATTGATGCAAGAAGTGAACTTTTGGGGATATGAAGGGAAAGTAAATATAAAGGGACAAATTTGAAGTTGTTACCAATGCATAGTTTACAAGCTAATATCTAACGATCTAACTATGAGGTGCGCAAATTCTAAACTCTGATTTCATGCAATCGCATTGAATTTCAATGCCATTCTCTATTGATGTTTCTATTGGTGTTTCTATTTTCGTTTCAGTTATGCTACGAAGTCGATGAAAAGTACGATGGTGAGACCCCAGCCCATTACGCCGCCAGAGCCAATCAAGCAGACATAATCTCAAAACTAATTGAGCTCGTAAGTCACTCTTGTCGCTCCTGAAAACTTTATGACTAATTTGAGAACGCTAAGAATTTGTTCTGTAAAAACAACCAAGGAATGACTCCGCTTCACTTGACCGCACAAGTGAACGCTTGGGAAAGTGCTGTGGTAAGGGGTGAGCCAAAAAAACGAGAATGAAAAATTCATTACAGCGGTTCCTCGACTACGGAATCGAGCGCGGAATCTCTGCCAAAGAGTTGTGTTTTGAAGAGAATGATCAACGGGAGAATTTATTGGCAATCGCCTTCGCCTACAATCATCCGACGTATATTACAGTAGATCATTCCACTTTTCTGTTTTCTCTATACTCTCAGTTTAGAAATTGATCGAGAAAATGGAAAAAGATGTCGGCTGCGATGAGTAAATAGCAATCATTATCGGTAAACATAGAATCTTTTAGTTTCGATGCAAGCCATACAAGTGCAATCCAGAAAGCTATTCAGTGTGGCTCAATAGAGGGGTTACAAGTAAATGTTTTCTATGTTATTCAGCTAGAATCATATATAACACGAATTTCAGGACTTGCTTCAAGGAAAAACTCTGAGAAACACTATAAAATTGGTATCAAACAAAATAAAGTAAAACTATTTAGTAATTTAGGATGAAATCTTGGAGGAAGAGAATGAGAACGGAGAGTCGGTGTTGCATTTCGCTGCAAGGAGTGGATGTCTTAACGTGGTATGTGTGTGAGAGCACAACTTGAGCAAGAATATTTTCAGGTTGAGGAGCTGTTGAAAAAGAAAGTAGTTCGTCAAATCCTCAATGCGACGGCTGCCGGAAATCGAACGCCACTTCATGTTGCTGCTAGAAATGGTTTTTTTTGTAAACTCTTTCTTAACAGAATAAAAACTTTTCTTAGATCATGCCAAAATCTGTGAAGTCCTTCTCCGGAAAGGAGCCAACCCGTATGCTCGAGCCAATGGGATGACTCCTTTTGATTTAGCAATAACGGTTGGTAAGCGACAGGAACTTCTGACCAGGAATCACTTCAGATGGGCAGCTTGAACAGTGCTGAAGTTCTTCGAAAGTACTGCAGTGTCAACGGAGAGCGTGAATGCAAGTTCGTGCAGAGAGTGGCCAAAACAATTCTTGTTGACGAAATTTCAGAATGTCTCCACTGCACTATGCAGCGGCCAGTGGCAAAATAGAAAGTGTGCATTATCTCCTCGATTCCGCAAATGGAAAAATTGATCTTGGTAATTATGGATTCTGAATCTGAACACAAATTGTGAAATTTAGCCAAGGTCACAAACGACGTAACGAAGAGAACGGCTCTTGACATTGCAATTGAAAAAAACAATGAGTGAGGCCTACTATTCAGATTCTGAATATTTTAATGATTATTGAATAACAAAAAAAGTTTAAGAGATGTAGCCAAAGAGCTATTATCACACAAAGATTGGCGTCTTCTAATGGACAAAATAAGATTCGTCTTCTCTGATGAAACAAATAAGGTTGAAATTGGTTCCCCAAAGGTTGTTTTTCGATGTAAAAAATCAATCTATGGCATTATTTTTAAATTTAGACCAAACGAGAGGAGATCTCTGAAGAAAAGAGGAAACTTGTGACACCAATGCGACTGCTCATCGACAAATTTCCCAAATTGGCGGCGGATGTCATGAACAAGTGCATCGATCCGTGAGATTTGCAAATTCCCAGATGAATGTCAAAAGTTCAAATTTAGAGATCAGGCTAAGAAGGAGATCTGCTACGATTTTACCCTGATAGACGATTCTTACGTTGTCGAGCAAGAGATTGGTGAGATGAGAGAAACAATAGGGTTTTTATCTAAATACAGATGGACAAACGATTCTCAAAGCCGGCTACAACAGCGATGGCTCTGTCATCAAAGAAGCGAATTACTTCTTTGATGACAGAGCTAAGAAGAGGACGCGACTAATGGAAGAACACCCACTAAGACTGATGGTTCTTTCTTTTCTGGTTACATTACGCTTTTTATCATCATTAGGCGAAATCACGGAGAAAAGATACAAGGAAGTTGCTGGAGCATGAGTTGGTCACCACTTTTCTTGAGTATCGTTGGACAAATGGTGCGCGAAAAAACTACTTGCTTTTTTGTAAGTTTCTTGTGAGAGAATAGTTAACTACAATTGTTTTTAGCCTTCGTTCCATTTTGCCTTTTCTTCTTTTGCTATATCCTCATGTTTGTTTTTATGCTCGGCGATCAATTTGTTGATTCAAAAGGTCCTACTTTTTTAGTACTTAGTGTTTAAGTCACAGAACAGTAAAAGTAAAACAAAAATCTAATTTAAAAGGTCAACTGCTAGAAAAAAGGTGCAGAAAGAATTCAAAATGACATAAGGCTCAATGTTTAAAAGTTGTTGCAACAAAAAAAAGTTCAGGGCAAATGATTGCAGGAAACGAAACGGGAAACACCACTCTTCAAGTAAAAAAATTAATTCCTAGTTTTTTATCAAGAAAAAAACTCTTTTTGCAGGAGCAGATATCAAAATCAAAATCAAATTTTATTCGAGATCGTTCAGGCACATTCGAGGTGGAGAAACATTTGAATAAAAACAAGGATTAGTTTTAGAGTTTTTGTCCACAAATTTCGGCTATTGTTCTGCTGCTTCTAGTTATCCTTGTTATCTACTTATTAATAAAAGAGGTCAATGAAACAGAACAAATTACATTTTTAAAAATAAATTTCAGATCTTCCAATGGTGGCAAACTCGCGCGCTTTACTGGAAAAGTACGTGCTTTTCTTCTTCTTAATCAGTAATGGAGTAACGCACATTTTAGGGGGCAATTTGATCGAGCTGGTTGTGCTCTTGCTTTCTTCTATCATCATCGTTTGGAGGATTGTTGAGGTAGGAAAAATGAGATCAGAAAATTTACTTCAGAATAGTCTTTCAGCTCTTTCAAGGAAAAAAATACAATTTTTTGTTCTGGCCGATCGCTGTGCTGTCATTTCTTGGACTGACACTCAATCTGGTTAGTGTTAATATTTTTTTTAAAAACCTTTTAGCTAAAGTATTAGGTTGATAGGAATGAAATCAGCATTTTCATTTGTTCTTGGATATTTCAAATCTAAAAATTACATGTAAAAAAAGTAAAAAATCTATAAATGTAATGGGAGTTTTTAATTTTTTTCCTTTTCTTTTTTCGAATTCACTTATTTACCTATTTTTTGGATCAGTCGATTTTGAAGGGTTGAAAAATGACTGAAAAATAGAATAACATTCTAATACAGCATTTACGGTAAGTTTCAAAAGCAAGCAAACAGAGCATAACAGAGCAAAACAAAGTCCACATGTTTCCAGCTGATGCTGCTGAGCACGTGGGGCCATTTAGCAATCTACATTTTGATGTTCAAAAAAGTGACTCGGTCCAGCGTTTACCTCACCCCTTTATTGCTTGTGCTGCTCTTTGCCTTTGCATTCAGTTTCTTCTTTCTCCTACAAAATCAGGTACATACTTTTGGTTTGTCTGCGTTAACCATACCGTTACTTGAGGATGTGCTAGAGAATCCACTTATCTCTCTCATCAAGGTCTCTGTGATGTCAACGGGAGAATTTGATTTCAGCAGTTTATTCTATGGAGATGACGTGTAAGTTTCAATAGATTGATAAGTTTGATAGTTTTTTTGATAGATCAAAAAATTCGGAATAAGTTGTTCTTAGAAATGGTTCTTAGAAACAGCGTATTTAGAGAATTGCTGAGCGTTTTGGCTGTCGAAACGCCTCAAGTGCTGTTGGTCCGCATAGCTAGCTTTATCGTCTTCCTGCTTTTCATCGTGACAATCACGATTTTGTTCATGAATCTGTACACAGGCGTGGCCGTTGACGACGTTGCCGAAATCAAGGAAGAGGCCACGGTTAACAAGTTGTCAATGCAGGTTTGCTTATTGATGCTAAAAGCAATAGATGTTGTTATTCTAGTTGAGTTTGATACTCATCCAAGGCATCATATGCGAGAAGTTGATGCGAAACGCCAAATACAAGATCATTGTTGACTTTGCAAAAGACAAAAGTTCAACGAAAATTGAAGACAAAAACGATCAACCAAAACGAATAAATCTATTCGTCAGTTTCGGCTTTAAAATATTAGATAAATTGTCTAATTTCAGTCAAATCCAAATGACGAATGGGAGGAATTGTTGAGGAAACGGGACGAATCGACGAATCGTTCTATGGTAACCGAATTATTAGATTCAAAACTTTTGTTAACATTATAAGATCTTTTGCTTTCTAGTTGCAAGCATTGAAGTCTATTAAACCATAATCCTTTTTCGTGCTTTCTGAAAGTGACACATGCATTTGACTCAATTTTGTTTTAAGGCCTGTAAATTCCAGGAAACAAGAATGACCGAAATGGCTGCTCATTTGTTAGAGATCACAAGAATGCTTAAAGCAAGCCAAGCAGGTCAGCAAGCAAGCCAAGCAGGTCAGCAAGCAAGGCAAGCAGGTTAGCAAGCAATCAATCTCTTAGCAGACCTCCTTTTTAGAACGATCATCTTAATAAAGCCGATTGATGCCTTGGAATTCGGTTTATTATTTCACTTCTACATAATAAACCTAATTTTTAACCATGTTTTCACTCAACTTTTTCTATCTCAGGAGTTTTTTGTACTCGATTCTTTCTGTCTCTAAAACTTAATAATGGTAAACCCGAAGAGGGTTGCAAATTTTAGATTTACGGGCAAATGAGCGCACAGATGGGGCGTTTTAATGTGGGAAGTTTTCGAGAGGCTCCTTTTAAAGATCAGAACAATCAGAAGATCCGAGTTCCACCCGGCTACAAAGTTGAAGTGAGTGAAGTCAGTGAGTCACGTTGTTGACCTGGTTCTCGAGAAGTCCCTAGTCTTAACTGACCAGTCTTGGCTTTGGAAAGCAGTTCTTCATTTGCTTGGATTTTGTCAGAACTATTTATAAAATTTATGAGGGTAAACAAGAAGACAAAACAAACTGACTAAATGAATTCGGTACTGTTCGGTTTTACCTTGAATCCAATCGAGCCAAAGAACTGAGTCTATTAATATTGGGTTGGTGAATTGAAAACTGCAGGACTTTGACTAAAATTTATTCAACATAAAACCATCAAATTCATTCCAAATAATTTCCCATTATTATTGACGACTTCTGCCCTTTTTACAGGTAATTTGCGGATTCCTCTCTTTCATTGGTAGGATTTTTGGTTTTGAATCAAAAAACTTTCAAAGACCAGGTAAATACGGTTACTTCTTCCGAAACAAAGCGCGTTCTCCGCCAAGCCCCCCCTCATGATCCCGAATATTATTAATTAAAAGGGCGGAGTCCAGACTGTATGGGAGCCATCCGCCCCCAGTTCCCAAACAAGGCGTATTTATTTTTAGAACGAGTCAGTTTTGCAACATGAGGGCGCGCGTTGTCGTGGAGGAGAATGATCTTTGACTTGAAGGGCCTATTCTTCTTTAGGGATTCATTTACCCTTTTCAACTGTTCACTGTATTTGATTGCATTAAGGGTCATCTTGCTATCCGGCAACTCCCAGTACCACTCCTCCATATCCCAAAAACACAAAGCATAAACTTCTTCTGGTGCAAACCGGGTTTAGAATCACTTTCGGTTTCTCGCCTGGCACTCCTTATTACCACTCTCTGAAAGTTCACAGATAAAACCCATTTCCTATGTCTATCACAATTCAGAGAAAGAAAAGATTTCCTTTTGTATTGTGAGAGATGGACGGCACTGATCGAGGCGCGCTGCCACTTCTGGGGGTTATTGAGGTCATGGGGCACCCAAGCCCCAAGTTTCCATTTAAATCCAAGGGTATGAAGGTGCCTTAGCACTGTAGCATGATCAACCCCTAACTCTTCTCCCAATTCACGCGATGATACCCGAGGGTCGTTGGTAATGAGTTCGAATAATTTGGAATCATCCAGTTCGGGTGCCGCTCCACGGCCCTCTGCATCTTTCAAAGAGTTGTTCCCAGATCGAAACTTGGCAAACCATACTCGACACGTTCTTTCGGAAGGTGAATCCTCCCCATATATCTTTTTAATATTAGCAACTGCCAAGCCTGCACTGTGCTCTTGTAGGAACTCATGAAGCATGACATGACGAATATGTCCCGGTGGCAGATTGTCGAGCGCAAGAAGTGAAGAAAAATACCAAAAAATGAAATGCTGGAAGAATAATTTTTTCGCAATAATTAGAGGAAATGTTGGAGGAAACAAACCCCATTTCAGCTGGTTCAATGCTGTTTTTTTATTTATCTGCGAGTCCCGTGAAATAGCCGGCAGTTTTCAATTCACCAGTCCAATAGTTTACGTCTTAATCAATGTCTGAACAAACCGACAAAAATGTTCTAACAGGAGAATTCTTTGTGGAGTAGTCTGATTCCGAAATGCAAACACCCCCTGGTTAACGCCATCCCGAAACTGCTTCCAAATCTTACCTATCATAAGCCATTTTCGAGATATAAGCCTTCAAAGTCTCAGTCACTTTCGCCAAATAGCAAGCTAGCCTACTTAAAGCCTTGACGCTAAGATATCAATGTGCCTCAGTGGCCCAGTGAATAGTGTGTCAGACCCGAATTTGCCTTCTTTCTCCCTGGTTTTTTTTCTTTATGAAGGTATAAAAATTGATTTTTGAAGCTTCTGAAGTCTTTATAACCATTAATTTGCTACTTTGAGCTTTTAAAAAATGGTTAAAATCTGATTGAAAAGATTTTTGGTCACCATGAAAGCCAGTGACTTTTACTTCTGGCTTCTAAAGTGTTGCAAATTTTTATATTTTCGCTTATTTAAACCCTGTGAACAATAGAACATTCAAAAATATTCAAATTTGTTAAAAATAATTTTTAAGAATAAAAACGAAAGAGTTTCACTGTGAAATTGGGTAAATGCATGTTTGCCAAGTTTCGAAGTATGACGCTTTTGTAATGGCCTTAACATACAGGAATCTTTTTTCAATCCCGCATTTAAGCAATCCCCATTAAATTATTTGTAAAATGATATGTCCTAATAATCTGAAATTTTTCATTCTGTAAAAAGCTCAAAGTTCAAACTTTATGAGCAGCTGTGCAGTCTAATATTGCTAATTAATGTTTGTAAAGACTTTAGAACACCTGAGAAAATCAATTTTTATACCTTAATAAAAAAAGTTTTACCAGGGAGAGAATTCGAACCAGGGGCAAAGAAGACAAATTCGGGTCCAACGCGCTAACACACTATTCACTGGGCCACTGAGGTACATTGATATCTTGGCGTCAAGGCTTTAAGTAGGCTAGCTTGCTATTTGGCGAAAGTGACCGAGACTTTGAAGGTTTATATCTCGAAAATAGCTTATGATAAGTAAGATTTGAAAGCAGTTTTGGGATGGCCTTAACCAGGGGGTGTTTGCACCTCGGAATCAGATCACTCCACAAAGCTAACTTCAAAGGGTTTCCCTGTAAGCAAATGAGTCTGGAATAATCAACTGCTTAGAATGAATCATTCTGGAATGATCGAACTAAACAAAGTGTTATTTTAAGGGAATGAATACTGTCCAGAAGCGATCGCACGACGATGAAGACCTCATGTAGGTGAAGCAAGACTTGCTAGACCCGGCTCTTCGTTTCATTGTAGATAAAGAAGTTTAGCGAAGCCATTCTCGATAACTCGTTTATCACCAAGAACAAAGGACCCAAAACTCCGATGAAAAGCGGAGATTTCGAGCTCGACCTAAAAAAAGTCTACATTAGACGGTTGTTGCATGGTCTTTTATGTCAAAATGTGAAAATTCTAGAGTCAAGCTAGGAAATGATCAGGAAATGATCAGGAAATGCCGGCAGTTGAACGAGGAGATTGAGAGTGCCCGGTTTCGTGCGCACAACAATGTGAGTAGAGTGTGCTCTTTTCAAATAAGTTCAAATAATCTCCAATCCAATAAGGCACTTGATAAAGCGTGCTTTTCTTGTCACATTTCAAGCTATTCAGTTAGTGATGCTTGAAAATTTTGAAATGAAACATGAAAAGCACACTTTTTAGATTTTGAATTTTGAATTTTGATTTGAAAATTATTTGAAAGGAGCACGCTGTGAGTGAGTTCTTCTTGTCGCTACGTTCTCAATAAAATGAGTGTAGATTGTGGACTACTATGAAGTGTACCCAGAGATCGATGCTAACGATTTTGTCTCTCATATTTGCCTGGTGTCCGAACGAATGCAATCGACTCTGGCTCAGTACCTCAAGTACTGAAAATTAAACAAATTGACACTTCATGATATTTTTAGGGGCCTACGTAACAAGAATAAGAGACTCTCGCCTGAAAACATTGCGTGGATACTTGTTCAGATCTTTCAAGTACTCTCATATCTTCATACTGAGGGGCTCGTGCATGATGTAATGCTATTCACTAATTTAGATTTTTTTAAGAAAAGCCTCTAGAACATCACTTCATCAAGTATTGGTATCAATGAAAAAAGGCACTTAATAAAGTTGCTCAGTTATCGCGTTTCGGGGTAAGCTAATTTGCAATACTTGCAGAGAAAAAACAAATTCAGCCACGGACAAAATGTGTTCTCAGTAAAAAGAGATCTGATAGCAACAGCCGGATTAGTCAATGAGATGCTAAACAACGAAAATCCTTCAGGTGGCTGTTTGCATAGAGCTTCGCATTAACAAATCACTTTTTAGACGCCAGCCTAAATGACTTGCTCAACAGAATGATCGCAGAGAATGAAAACGTGACCCCACCAAATTACTTCAGTGCAAAAGAATGTCTGGAGCATCGTTTTCTCTCAGATGCTAAGGTAGAAACAGATTTTACTCTTTTAAGTGAAAAGCTTCTTTAAGAAAAGATACGATCGAGAATTTCCCTTCGAACAGCCAAAGGATGATATGGCATGGAGGTCGAAGAATGCGAGAAGCAAAGCTATTCTGTGGAGATTGTTTGAAGCACCCACTGCCAGAATCAACTTTCGCATTGAACTAAATGGAGACCAACAATCGGTAAGTTTTGATTGACTAAATAGTTTGAATTCATTCTATAGATGCCTAATCAAATAGCTCCAATCGAGAGATTCAAGCCCGAGAACTACAGAGATGCTTTCTATAAAAGCAAAGGCCAATCACGACAAAACTTCCGAATTCCACAGCGATACTCGCAAGTTTGTTGTCCTTATCTTTTAGTTTAGACTTTTCTTCCAAAGTAATTAAGACTTCCCATTACTCATTACACTTTATTATAGAATAAAACACTTCCAAATCAAGCTCATCAAATGCACAAATGCTCGTCAGCTTCAAACGAATTCAAAGTGATCACCCACGAAAACCACTACGATACTCTGTAAGAAATTACAGCTTTGAAAACGTTTTAACTTTCTTTAGCTTGGCGTGGGTAGACATTGGTGGGAACTTTGTTGGAGAGTATAACAAAACCAGTTCGGACTGGAAACGGGTGGCTTGCAAAAGGTTGTTGCTTCTTTTCTTTTTTATTAGATTGGCAACTTGACAGTTGGTACACTTTTTCGTATTTTCCATAAAACATATTTAA